AATAAGCCCTTTATTTCACCTTTTCTAATCTGAATGGTAGTAGAAGAACTAATCATGTCGTTCATTTCAGCGGTTCGAGTTTTTAATTCCAATTTGTTATGATTAAAGCTCTCGTAAAGTCACATATAATTTTTTTATGCTACAGTAAAAAGTTTTCATAGAAAATCGTATCTCAACTCGAATTAGTAGACTGAACAAAGAGTAAGAATAATTTGAATTTGTTTGGTTTTAATTTGTATTGCTTTGTTTTGTTTGGTTTTGGAAGAATGGCTAAAATTTTCTGACGTACATTTTTTTCCCCTAATTTTTAAAGGGGAAATCTATGTAGGGTGAGCCAATTCACCCTCCGGATATGGTTAATTTATTCACACCCTAACATAAAAAATGAACGGCTCAAAATAATTGGTTTCACAGAAACTAAAATGGACACTACGGTCCCGTTCATTTTGCTGATTCGAGTTTAGAATTTGAGTTTTTTTACAGTAAAAAGTTCTCACAAACAATCACATCTAACTTTTTTGTTACAATAAAAAGCTCTCACATAAAGTCACATCTCAACTCGAATTAAAAACTCGAATCAGCGAACTAAACGGGCCCTACAATACCTCATTTAACTTTTTTGTTTTGAAAAGAAAAAATTATGGAAAAAAACTTAGTTTCTTCTTCGTGGACGGCAGCCACCCATACCGATTTCCCGGCGTCGATTTTTGACACCACTATACCATTAGAAAGATCTTGACGAGTTGAGTTCATTGACGTGCCGTGAGACCTCCATCTTGGCCGTAAACCGCCGCAATCGCCGGCGAAAAGTCTGAAAAATAATTGAATTTTAAATCTACGTAACTTCTTCGTCCAACCTCTGATTGAAGTGATTCCGGTCCCTATGGACTCAGAACAATGAGACGAACAAAACCCATCCAACATCACCCGTCCATTCTTGCCGGAACACCATCACCGGAGCTGCGTAATTCGACCTCCCTCAACATTCTCAGATTTCTGTCCTCCCGGCCGCCATTGATGACGCCACTGATGTCATTGAACTCAGAAGATCATGGGAAATAAAAACCCTCTGTTAATTTTGACGTTTCACCACCAAAAAGTTGAATTTCAAGTTGCCCATTTTCCCGGAAACTTCCAGTCTAATCTACTACTTAAGAGTTCGAATTGGTCAAAATTGACCCTACCATTAGACTTAGGAGGGTCGAATTAGGGGGCGTAGGTTTAAGCTTCGCCGTCGAACTCACCTCCATTCACCACCGGTGCCACTCACCGTCACTGGAGGTGGTGGAATTAACCGGAGATGGCTTGAAGAAGGAAATGATTTTTTCTTCAGTTTTTCTTGTTTGAATTATTTTTGTTGATTTAGCTAAAATTTTGTGTAGAAGAGACTACTAGACTCTCATTGAGATCGAATTTGAGCCTTTTGATTGTACCGTATCAGTAAGAAAAAGTGGTCACCCTACTATAACCAGTTTTCAATTAATTGATTAAAAGGGTAATAAGGACATTTTATATCCAAAAATAGTTCTAAAGGTATAAAAAAACGTCTTCTAAAATTTGAAGGTATCATTTTAATATTATTAAAAATACATAATACTAAGATCATATTTCATTATAGTACAAGATACTAAAATGATTTTATTCCTAAAATTCATTGTGTAGATAGAAATGTACTACACTGATGAGTTTTGAACGCTTCAAGATCACAACACTTATTATAACATAAAACTGTTACGTGATCACAACATTTATTATAACATAAAATTGTTACGTCTAAGAAGCCACTGATCATGCTCAAATACATACTAAATGATAAGTATATCTATGGATCTACCTAGCCAAGGGTTGAGTCATATCAGCACTGATCAAATCCAATTGACTCATCTCATATGAATCTCTCAATCCATTCTCCTGAGCATTTGCAACTTTTGAAATTTCCAAACACTCCTTTAGGTCTCCCACTACTTGACCCATGGTAGGCCGTTGGGCTGAACTTGGAGAAACACAATTTATGGCAATTTCAACAACTTTCCAGGCAGTGTTCACGCTGAAATTTCCTTGCAACCTTGGATCAACTATACTATTGATACGCCCTTCTTCAAGCATTAAAGTGACCCATTCACCCAGGCAAATATTGTCATGGGCTTTTGACATTGCAGGTTTGCCTGTGATGATTTCCAACAATACCATCCCAAAGCTGTAAACATCACTTTTCTCATTTAACCTATTTGACTTGTAGTACCTGCAACCAAATCATTAAGATAATAACAATAATAAGAATAAAAATTCTCTTCTCAAGAATATCATTTCATAATTATCGATGTAACGTGATCATTTGAAGAATGGTAGAGGAAGTGGCGTAAATGGGTGATTGCAACTGGAATTCCTCTGATCGATTCAATAGGTAATTTGTTTTATAGTTCGGCCCTTTCTTCATAAGTTTGAATCACAATTCAACCTTTTTTTTCTAACAAAAATTTAAATTTAAATTCAAATTTTGCAATTCAAACACATGAAAAGAACACCCTCTTCATATTCTGAATTGGGTTAATCCCAATATAGTACCATGTCTTAGATGTATTTTGTTTATAAAGTCATGGGTACCTTGAAGATTAAATACCTAAAGAGCTGAATTTGGAGTCATTTTTTTTAACAAAGAAATAAAAATTACTTACTCTGGGTCAATATATCCGGGAGTGCCAGCAACTACTGTTAGTACATGACTTGTTTTCTCAAAGCCAGTTGGAAAAGTTTTGGATATGCCAAAATCAGAGAGTTTGGCTTGGAAGTTTTCATTCAACAAGATATTTGCCGGTTTCACGTCTCTGTGGATTATAGGAGGTTTACAACCATGATGTAGATACTCCAATCCTATATAGTAAAATAAACTCAATAAAAAGGGCGAAATATGCATATTATATTATTTAATTAAAAAAATAGATAAGTTAGGATTCATTTATTCTCCAACCTTGTGCTGCATCCATTGCTATATGAAGTCTGTCTTCCCATTTCAGAATGTTAGTGGAACTATTATCTGCATGCACATTTCACATTAAAAATTAAACATTTAAATATCTATCTAATTAATTTGCCTCCAAGATTTATCTAGGGCATTTGAAGTTACTACCTTGTGTGTACACAACATGTTAAAAACAAAACCCAAAAAAAAATTATTTATCATTATTGTTGATGCAATTACATGCAATTATAAGTAAAAGGTATCATATAGCAGTATAGGACACAACATGTTACACTATCTTCTGCTATATGACAATTCTACTTTACTACTATAAATGTGGTTATGTGCGATCATTGGTGTTAAATAGCAATGCTCTAATTTTTTGATTAGAAAAAAAAAGTTAGTCTCTTATTTTTTTGGTCTTAAGTATAGGTGCTAAAGAAAACCTGAGAGATGAGATTGTAGATCTCCACTGTTCATATACTCGTAGACAAGCCCAGCGTTGTTTTGATCATCAGTGAAATAACCAACAAAAGTTGTTAAATTTTTGTGATGAACTTTCAGCAGAACGCTGACCTGCAGTTAAAAAATTATAAAGATCTCAAAATTGTTTTTAAACTAGTTATATCACAATTAATTCATTGATTTTTTTGTGACATTATAAAAGACGTTATTCAGATATTTGAAACTATATATAAAACTCCTTTAAAAATAAAGAAACTATATATAAAACATGTATTTATTAGTATATATCAATATTACGTGCCTCTGCTTGAAATTGTTTATATCCTTGAAAAGATGACGGTGAAAGCATTTTCACAGCTACTTGAGTATCACCTATCTGACCATGATAAACTGTTCCAAATCCGCCTTTACCAATAATTCTCTCAAAATTGTTGGTAATTCTTAGTATGTCAGAGTATGTAAATTGCCGTTTTGTCGAGTACTCCGATGAATATTGACCAAAGGTAGATTTTGCCTTTGATGAACCTGGTAATTAAGTTGATCATGAGTAGGTAGCTGTAATTATTAGGACATGTATACATACATGATATATATATATATATATATACACACACATATATGATGTGCTATGCGCTCATGTATATGTAGAATAATCCTGTTGTCTCAAATTTTGTCCAATATTGTTGTACCAGTACTATATTTATCGAGCAATTACTTAACACTAGTTTTGCTTCCCTTAAAAAAAAAAATCGTCGTTTCTTGTTTTCTTTACACTAATATTGCATCCATAGTTAAGGTACTAATTAATTAATTTATATACACATTTATATATGTATATATATGAAAGTTTAATGTGTCTTACCATGCTGTCTTTTCCTTTTAAGACCCCACCAGATTGCTGCGACAGCTAAGAGAAGAACAAAAGTTCCGACAAGTGATGCCACAACTGGAACAAGAAAATTTTTCTTTTTGCAAGAAACTGATGCACATAGATTTGGATTCCCACCAACACTAGCAATAAAAATGGTAGATAGCGTGCAACAAAATTGAAAGAAATTAGAGTTTAACTAAAAGATGAAGATAAATAAATAATATTATTTAGTAGCAGATCATATTTTGTTCATCTACCTAGTTATTTGATTTCTTCAAATTTAGTGGTAACATTTTACATTTATTAGTACCAGACCAAGGTCCTGTGTTGAGATATTCATTTTGAACAAAGAGCTTACCTTAGTGTTAGAAGACCTTTGTCCCTTTTCTCAATAAGTTCATCTGGAAGTTGACCATTGAGGTTGTTGTTTTCAAGGTTTCTGTCATGTTACATAACAATGCATATCACCAAGCTAGCTTTTTATAACCAAGAAAAGTCTGATTATATAAAACTAAATCCGATTCAGTTACTCACAAGACCGTTAGTTCTGATTGCATTTACATTCTTTAGTTGCACATGTTATATAGTACAAATTAAGATGCAAAATCAAAAGACGATTTAAAGGAAACAACACACACACATATATAGATACTTACAAGGATATAATTCTTGGGGTAGTATTCTCATAACTACAATTTAGACCTTCCCATAAATACTTTTTAGGAGCACATGGATCTCCTTGCCAGTTTCTCCGTAATCCATAAGTTGACTTGAGTGTGGTGATGGCATCAACTGTAATGATTTTAAATATGCATATATATTTATATATTAAATCTTATATCAAAGTATTATAATATAAACAAACTTATATATATATGGGTAGTGTTACCATTCTTCTAGGAGATACTATATACGTTGCTTGTATCATAAAGTGAGAAGTATAACATGACATTTATTAAACACAACATAATTAATATTTTTAGTGTTACACTTATGATATCAGTGCAGCATTGAATAAATGTCATTATATTTCTCACTTGTATATATATGTTGCAGTGAACGTATGGTCCCTGAAAGTACCAAAGTGCCCATATATGTGTGTAATATTATGTACTGCATTTAAGGTAAGGTCCTTTCATACAAGATCATTATAAAGCACATACCATCTTGTTGGTCAGATTCAGACTCTGAAAATTCTTTGACAGTGTAAATCTCAAAGGCATTGATAATGGGTGGATGAGTTGAGGCTTCAGTCTTGCGGATTGAGAAATTATGGTAAAATCCCGAAAATGGAGTTTCGGCGTGCAACGTTGTTCTTTGCAAGTGCTTTGGGGAAACAGGTCCAAACAAGAGATCACCGTTGTAGAATATGTTGAATTCTCTAGACTCGTTGGCTTGGAGTTGTTCGATTTCAGCAAAGTGCATGTAAAAATAATATGTACCGTTACTAAATTCATCAGTTGCAGTCCACGGAAATTCCAAAGGAGCTTCTTCGTTTTTCGGTGTGAAAGCAGTGCTCATAATTAGTGATGGTATGCTATAATGGTCGGATTGATCTTCAGAATCAATGGGTAGATTTGTGCTTAATTCTTTCCAATCATCATATTTCTGTGCAGACCAGAGACGATCATAAACATCCATGTCCTCTCCATAATACCTAAACAAAAAGTTTCCAATTCAGTATGCGATATATATTATTACAATTAAAAGCTTTTGTGCAAAAAGTCGGATTTTTAACAACTCGCGATTTCACATCTCTATTTTTCTCTTTTCCGGTTGTTAGCACTGTTAGTTTTGGAATTACAAGTATAGTGTCACTTTGGTGATTTCACAGAGATAATCATGTCTAATTCACATAGTAACTGATTTTTTTAATAGAAAAAATTACAACAAATGCAAAATATTTTCTTTTTTGTTGTTAAAAATCCATATAAACTAAGAAATTTTGCATTTAATATTGTAATTATTTATGTTAAAACTTCAGTTAATTACTCTGCAACTGAGATGTGATTATCTCTAGAAATTTCAGGCATTATTTTAATTATAATGGTAGGAACTAAAATTGCCAACAAATCCTATAGTTTTGTGAAAAATTTACTTAAATTAAAATTTTAGGAATTAAAGTGATTATAATGCTCATAATTATTATTCATGGACTAATAGTGTTAGTAACCCATTTTCAATAATTGTCAAAAATTTAACTATGCTTTTTTTTTTTTTTTTTTTTTTTTTTTTTTTTTTTCTCTTTTTTTACAGTATCTAATGTTTGTACTGCCATTTTCCGGCCGATTGATACCTCCGTCTAGTGGTTTCTGAAGTTTGCCCAAAGTTTTCATTGAAATTATAAAACTTGTACATATATATGTTTGAACGGAAAAAAAAAAGATACATCATGAAATGATAAAAATTCCCATGGATTACCCCTAAATTTTTTTAAGAGAAAATTGCATATCAATTTACCTTTAACAGTGTATGAGTCTAGATTTTTATCTCTCATTACTACAACAAAAAGGGTTATTAGCGACGACATTTATCGTTGCTAAAATTACAATATTAGCAACGACATGTCGTCGCTAAAAAGAAAACAAAATTTTTGAACGACTTAACGTCGCATTCAGTATTTGCGACGACTTGTCGTTGCACAAAATTTTACTATTTATGATGACATATTGTCGCTAAAATTTGACAAATTATTAGCGACGACATGTCGTCGCTAATAGTGATTGGTGCCAAAACCAATCTGGCGTCAACAATGTTAGCGCCAGTTTGTCCATTATTTGCGACGACATGTCATCACAAACATTGATACGTACTGTTGGCAGTGACGTCGCCAAAAAGAGGCGGAAAACTTATGTGTGTGAGAGATGATAACATTTGGGATAACTCACCTGGTCCATGTACTGACACCAGTGTCAAGCCGATCGAGCAATGCCAAGGATCCTGTTTGAGCTTGATAAGTTGAATTATCCAAAGGCCTTAATTCTATGGCTGATATAAATGGGATGCCATGGCTAGTCTTGACAAGACAGATATGAATATGGTTTTTCTGAGGGACATGTATGATCTCTGGGTCGATTGTGAAATCTGAAGAGCTCGACGTCTTTACTGAATCCCATAAACTGGCTCCAAGATATAAGTCGAAAGTTGGCGGCATACCTTCACCGTCGTAATTTCCGTAAAAGAATGATGCTCGGATCAAATATTTAGTACCTGTTGTGACCCCTATTTTGTAGCAATTTCTATCTCCTTCAGGGAAGCTTCTAAGAGACATATACTGCTGTTGCCAATTACCTTTTGATACGACCTTCCTTACACCAGTGTCTATGAATGCCTCATCAGAAACGTACTTTAAGTCTGTACTGCCCTCAACGTGAGTAGACATGTTAGGTTGTAAGCCGCAATCTATACTGATATACCCTGAGACATTAATCATACTAGTGAGTGGTGGTGAATAATTTTGTAACTTCTCTATAATGTTAAGTTTGATTGCTGTATTATTAATTTTTAATTTATTTAACAAAAGGCATTTTATTTCATTGTTAATACGCATTCTAACAATCACTTTTAAAATAGCAAGGCTTATATTGAAAAAAGTAAGAAATAAATAAATAAATAAATAGAAACGCATATAAAATAAATTACTTTACAAAGAAAGGAAAACTGGGATTTCAAATCATGTCAATAGTAACAAATTACGAAATTGAATGGATGCCGTGAAAAAGCCTTTTCAAAAAAGATACATTTGAAAAAAATAAAATAAAATTTTTGATCGGGCCAATTAGGAAAAAATAATTAAAAAATTACTTCATAGAAACAAAATAAAAGAAAAATATTAATAAAGACTACATTTGATAAAATAATATTTAAAAATATTACAAAGAAAAAAGATATAAGTGCAGATCATGTATTTGATGCAAATTATCTCAAACAGATATAAATTAAAGGGAAAGTAGTTTAATATGTTTCAGTTTAAAGTATAAGTTTTTTTTTTTTTTTTTTTTTTTTTTTTTTTTTGTGGAAAGACAATAAAGAAGATAAGAAAAAGTAAAAAGTAAAAAAAAAAAAAAAAGGTTAAACACTACAGTATAAAATAACTTGACCAAAAAATGGAATATGAAAAAGGGAGACTCTCTCTTATTATAGTAACAGATAATGGATAATCGATAAACCAAGAGAGAATGAGTTTTTTTAAAAATAAAACCGGTTTAACCTAGTTTTTGAAATGTCCCTTTTGTTCTTGACATTTAAGTGTTTTTTTTTTTTTTTTTTTTTTTTAATGTTATTAAAAAATGTTTCGTTGCAAGTGGTTTTACACAAATTAAGGCCCCGTTCACTTCACCGATTTGAGTTTAAAATTCGAGTTTTGCTACAGTAAAAAGCTCTCAGAAACAGTCACATTTAACTTTTTTGTTACAGTAAAAAATTCTCACATAACATCACATCTTAACTCAAATTAAAAATTTAAATCAACAAACTAAATGAGCCCAAATTACCCCGAGTCTAGCGTGTTACTCTTCATTGAAATCACCACGTTTACATTTCTAATTAGGAAACTTCTTTAGTATAACCACGTGGCGCTTTCTGGGTGGTTTCTCATTTTGGTTGGACACATGTCAGTAATATTGTTGAAAAAAGGAGTCACATGGATAATCCCGATCCGACGGGCAAAATCATTTCCGATTATATTTTTTTTATTATTTATTTATTTATTTTGAATTGATTTGTGGTTCAATTTATCTATTTAAACACCGTTCTGCAGTAATAAATAATTCAAATAAAAATATACTAAAATAAAATAAAATCACACTAAATTAAATAAAAATAAATTAAACAAAACAAAGTACAACTAATTTAAAACAATAAAATAAGTTAAAATCTCAAGAATTAAGAAGATTTTTGTGCAAAATGAGCTGCAAAATAAATTTATTTTATAATGCTATTAAACGTTTCTCCTCTTCTTCTTCTTCTTCTTTTTTTTTTTTTTCCCCATATTTCCTCCTTATTCTTAGTTTTCCTTTTTTCTATCTTTTTGTTCTCTTTTTATTGTTTTATCTTCCCACATTTTTTCCTTTCTAAATATGCAGGCACATAGCGCATGTTTCCAATTAGTATTATTACAAATATGGAAAGGATTAGATACTCCGTGTATTAATTTTTAATTTGTTTTCATTTTTTTTGAAGGAATTTGTTTTGAATTAGATTAATTATTAAAACTAAAAAAGTTGTGTTATACCACCAGTGATGGAGCCAAGATTTGAATCCAGTGGGGGCACAAGTAAAAAAAATTATCAACTAAACTATAACATAAAAATTTCGAGGCAAACTTTTTATCTTTTTTTTTTGTTCCGATTTTATCTTTTCTAATTACCAATAATATTTTTTTAAGGGAGTGATAACTTTATTGAGTATTATGCACGCAAGTTTATGTATATGATGAATAAATAAAAAATAAACATTAAAACAATATAATCACTTGAGATTAAAAAGTTTATAAATTTTCATATTACTTTGGAGAGCAATAAAACTTTTCATATAAAACTATTGGAAAATAACAAAGGAGCGAAAAATATAAATGAAAAAACCAAAGGGGGTAATCGCTATCAAAACAAGAAAAGAAAAAGGGGGTTTTTTTATAACTAAAATGAAAAAAAAAAGAGAAAATTATAAAATATACTAACATGAATATGTGAGAAGAGGACATTTCCGTAACAAAAAAGGAAGTGAGCCTTCCTTCAAACAAGAGTCAAAGCCTAAATCTTTAGAAAAAAACCCAAAATAAAATAGAGAGTTTTACTTGATTAGTGGGGGCACATTCTTTAAAATTAGGATAAATAATAGTGTTTTGGGCAACAAATATAATGGTTTTGTTTCTTTTCAGTGGAGGGCACGTCGATCCATCCTGTATATCATATGGACAGGGATTTGAATCATTTTCAAACTCAAATTTCAAATATATATCATATGGACAATCTATTTTGATCAAACCTTTTAGAAAAGACTGGGATTTGATTCCTTTTCAAACTCTAATTTCAAATATATCCAATATCAAAAGAAAAAGAAAATCCTTATCTCTATATAATAAAAGTGTGTTAAAACAAGCTAGTCTCTTTGATTTTTTTTTTCCATTTTTGCCCTCATTCTTCTTCTATTTTTCTCTCTCAATCTCACATCCTCTCTCCCTCACGCTCTCCTCTCCTTCACGTTCTTCCTCTCCTCTCTCTCTCTCTTTCTCACTTGCACGCCTAAATCCCAAAGAAAATAGAGAAAATTCTTCCAAACAGCAAATTTATATTCTCTCACAAGTCTTTGTTTCCGATATGCAACCGTGAGGAAGATTGATGAAAAGTATGTTATCGTGATTCATGGGTTGATTGATTAAGAAAAGCATGTAATTTTTATGATTTCAAATTATGGTAAGAGTTTTGCGATTTAAACAAAATATAAACTGTTCTAAATATTCTATTATATGTTATTAATTGAGCTGAATATTGATTATGATTGTAACACAAATTGGAATATACATGACAAGAATTGGAGAAAGATTTAAATTTCTTATTAGGATATTCTAGATGTTGATACCTGTTTGGTTCAAGACACCGCCACTTGTAAGAGCAATATCAACGAGAAATAATGCAAAGAAGACATACAGCTTCAACTCCATCTGTACTCAGCCTTTCCACACTGATTTAGGGGAATAATAATAACAATAATTATAACAACAACAACAACAACAATAAATCTTTTAGTTTAATTCCTCTCTAACTATCAGAGTTGAACCGAGTACATACTAGCTGTGAAGAAGCTAGTTTTGTTTTACTTGAGAAGTTTTGTTTTGCTTATCAAAAATAGATGTGAAGAAAATTGAACGCAAGATGGAGTTCTTAAATTAATGCGCTTTTATATATAGAAGTGATTATTATTTTTAAAAAAAAAATAAAATTATGCATAAATATCAAGTTTTATAGAAGTGATATAAATGCTGCTTGAAAATGTCTTTATGAAGTACAGAAAAAAATACAAAACTAAAGAAAGCACGCGAAATTATTGGCGGTCCTCTCAAAAGTCACATCAATTTGATGTGAAAATTAATTTGAGTTAAAATATGTTTCGAAATTAAAGAAACATATTCCCTCAAAAAGGGATTTTCCAAAAAATTACCTCTGCTTTCCTATAAATAAAAAATTAAAAAAAAAAACCTTTGATAATGTCAGGACTCAGGTTTTAATGAAAATTATTTGAGCAATATTTCTCTTCAAAAAAGAAATAATGGCTTCTTAGAGATAAATCTTGAAGGGCATGTTCTTCGATTTTTTTTATTTGAGATAATCAACTTTGATCTTTACTAAATACTCAACAAAGTTGTTGTTCTTGAAGTTAAAATGCAATGTTTCTCTTATACATGGAAAAAATTTATTTGTACACGGTGAAAAAAAAAATTGAATTATATAATTCAAAATTATCAAAACCGGACAGTTGTACAAATTTAAAAATGTTTTTACGGTAGAATACAAAACGGTTCACGGGGGAGGCTCGTCGTTGAAACCTCTTTGGAAGAGATGAAACCAAAATTTTTATTTTTTAATTATTCGTGGGTCCCACAATAAAAAAATCCCAACGTTCGATCATACTTTTACTCTAAGGGAAATACCAATAACCAGGTCAAAGTCTTTTGTAGAAGATTTAAGGTCAAGTGGCAAAGTTCTGGTGGAAATTGTAATGCAAATTTTAATGCAAAGTCCTTTCACTTCTGTTGATTGGTGTGACAGGTTCATACTTAACGTTTGTGATGTTAGGATTTCTTCTTTAATCATTTTTTTTTTACTCTTTGTATTTAATCATAATATAATATTATTTAAACCAAAAATAAAATAATAAAATTTATGTGTTAAATAATTAATACAAAAAATAAAAAAGAAAACAATAAAAAAATGATATTAACATTTCTTATTACCACAAAAACATTAATAGTATTAAATAACATAACCAATTACACATATTAAAACCTTTTAATTTTTATGCAAAACATAATTTTAAGCATATGCATTAATTAGTCCGCATATCCATGTTTGCAACATCATCCTCATTAATCGTCAAAGAAAATATGGATAGAACACTTATATTGTACGTAGGTTTGGACTTTTTCACTATTAATGATGCTATATTTTATTTCGTGTGATCCACAGATAGACGAGAAATAAGTAAAAATATCAATATCAATGTACTTAAATTTAAGAAAATATCGATGGAAATATTAATATTGATAAAAATTAGCGTAAAATATGAAAATTTATTTTAAAACACTTTATTTTTAAATGTGACTCTAAAAAACTTTAAAATAGCAAATAATGCATAATTTAGGTGAAATTCTCAATCAAGATATCAATTGTATAATAAATATGCATGCTAATTTGTGAACATAATAGAATAAATAACAAGCACATATTTAAAAATTAAATAAACAACTTAAAAAACCTCGTTCATTTTACCGATTCAAGTTTTCAGTTTTAAGTTTCTACAGTTAAAAGCTCTCAAAAAATGTCACATCTAATTTTTTCTGCTACAGTTAAAAGCTCTCAAAAAATGTCACATCTCAGCTGAAATTAAAAACTCAAATCTGCGAAGCGAACGAGCCTTTCAACCTAATGGGATTAAAATACAATAAATGATAAGTCCACCTTTACAAAATAAAAATGATATATTTCAATAAAACAAAAAAAGTAGGCAAAATGTATAAAAAACGGAAGACTACATTCAGATCAAAAAAGTAAAAAATCATATAAACTTTACATTATACAAATTATTTTAAAATACAAAGTTATTGATATTTTTATGAAATTTTTGTAAAATTTTCATGAAATTTGGTCATTCTCGATGCTACACTTCTCACAAAAATGGATATTTTCGTGCATATATTGATATTTATGGAAATTTTAGGATATTCCCTCTTTTCATATTGGTACTTCTAAAGAACGAAAATCGGTACTTCTAAAGAACGGAAATTTTTGTGAAAATATCAGTGAAAATATCTATTTTTTAAACATTGAGAATATGCAAAGCCAATAATTCTACGGATAAAATTATTTTGGTACATTCTGACTTCTGTTATAGTAAAAGATCTTGTTAGTACCTTATATTTTTAATAATATTAAAATGATACATTAACTTTTAAAAACTTTTACCGTAGCAAATTAGAATTTTAAATTCGAATTAGTGATATATAACTGCAAGAAAGTATGCTTATACCAACGTATGTATAAACATATGTGAGTAGCGCATTTACGCAAATGACTAGAATGAGGCACCAGTTAAAAACTGTAAAAGCCCGTACAAAGTGAGTAGCGCATTTGATTAACAACTTATAATCAATAGAGTGTTTAGTATGAGAATTCATATCATGATTCGATTTATAATTCGTGACTCACCACAATATTTACTCAAATCATTCGGAGTCCTGACCCAACGTTTACTATGAGAAAGACCAATAACCAGGTCAAAGTCTTTGGTAGAAGATTTAAGGCAAAGTGGCAAAGTTCCTTTCATTTGGTGGAAATTTTAATGCAAAGTCCTTGCACTTCTGTTAACTGGTGTGACAGGCTCATAATTAATGTTTGAGAAACGCTAGGATTTTTTATTCAATCGTTTTCTTTTTTAAATTCTATATTTATTGTTAAACATAGTATAATATTATTTAAACAAAAAATAAGATAATAAAATTTAAGTGTTAAATAATTAATATAAAAAACAAAATTAAAAAAGTGATAAAAAAGTGATGTTAATAAAAAAAAGAGTAACATCACCATATATGCTACACATAATCCGTAGCATAATCTAGAATTTTAAATCTCATAGCTTTAATATTCACAAAGCCAACCTTACCAACTTGGCACCGAATGTAACTAGTCTTGCAAGCAATATCTTCATACGATCATGTCCTTTATCTGTACACTTTTCTAATTTCAAAAGTCAAACCATATGCTGCACTTATAAAGCAATTTGAACTTTTTGCTTATCACATCCACGTAATTAGTTTTTAATCACCAAGAATCCATATTTGAATTTTGAAACCAAGCATATCTTCTCACGCAAAATCAGCAGCAACTTTAAACTTCATAATTTGCATCAAGATCGGCTCTGCTGCAACACAAAAGCATGTCTTCTTTTAAAATTTGAATTCAAATATAACTTGAATTCCAAAATCAAATCAAGCCGAATCTGCCGCAATAATCCAGATAAAATCAGATTCAAATACTCCATGAAAATCTCTTGAAAATCTATGCTCCAAATTTACTACGAAACTGATTCTTAATCGGAATCTGCATTAAGACATCAAGAACCTATTTTTGATTTTTTTACAAACTATTGCTAAATCATGCCAACTAGACAAAATATCCAACATGAACAAAAATGTCATCGTTGAAAATTTTGAATGCAAAGATTTTTCCCCTATTCTTTTTTGCCATTTTGCATCCAAGGACACTCATTATGGAAGCTGATTTATGTACACAACATAAATGGTAGATCAGTCTCTGGGCTAAGTAAAACAATTTCTGCCCTAAGCAAATCTCCAGCAGCAATATGCACCAAGCCATACTGCATACAGAACAATAGTTAATTCAATCTGTTAGTCGCTTGCAAAGTAATTTTGAAATGAGATTTTCATAATCTAATCCCGTGACTTTATGACAATGACAAATTGGGACAAAAGATCAACAACAATTAACTTGTAGCAGAATGCAAAAAACACGGAAACCAAATTCATCAACGTGACATACAAAAATGAACTATGTAAACGAGATAATGTCCACAATCACATTTATTGTGAAACATTTGCTTCATTTGCATATCTATCAACCACGGGATTGTCGAAAGGTGCTGCAAAATTTCAAGCAAAACCCCAGAGGGTCAGGCATGGAGAAACACCTCAAAACCTCATGCAGATCTCAAGGAAATAGAGAACCTGTAACATCGGCGGGGAAGAAATTCCAATAAAATTCTTTCCAATTTCCGCAACTACCATAAAACACGGAATAATTTTAACGTACGCAGTATGCAGAGACCAAAAAGGACCATATGGATGTGTTCTCTTTAGTCTACATCAATTGTTCTCAAATAACCCAATGAAAATGAAAATAAAAATTGCCTGAGCACAAAAGAGGAGAAGCTGCCCATAAAACTTACAATAATCTCCGACTTTCCACAATTCCACCTATTTACACCATAAGAAACTATTCACAACCAGAATATCCACTCTCTGCTCGTCTAAGGGTGTGTTTACTAATCAATAATCATGAAGGGAAAAGAAAATGATTTGTGTGTTTCTTTTTCCTATCGGTTGACGTGTTAGTTTATAGAATTAAGAATGCATACTAAGGAGGTCCTTGCTTAATTGGGGTAATTAGGAAAGAGAATCCAATCCTAAACTACCCCACAAATTTGGATGTCATAGGAAATTAAGCTCTTTTTGCGAGTTTTGGTTTTCTTTTTGTTTGATTTTTCATTTTTGTTTTTTCTTTCAACGTTTTGAGACTTTCTAATCCCCCTTCCTTTTGTAATTGATGATTATTTCAATGAAAGGAAGGTTTCTTAGTTAAAAAGTAAAAAAAGAAAAAGAAAAAGAAAAAAAGCCCCCTTAACTTTGACTTAATTTGATAGTGTTGTAGATTTTAAAAATATTATTTTTAACTGTACTGAAGGAAGTAACAGCTGTTATAAGAAGCAGCTGGGTGTTTGGTAAAATGTAATTAGTATTGATTTCAAAATCAGTCTAGTGGCGTTTGGTAAATTTTGAGGCTGAATTGCTGTGAGTATGTAACATGACAAAAATAGACATTTGTATGAGCTTAAATATATATAATTGTTTTTTATATTTAGAAATACTTGTTGAGCTTACAAAAAAAAAATGCTATAATTCTAAATTTCTAACAATAAATTTAGTGACAATTAATTATTTTTTTTCATTTTTTCATTCACAATATTGTTACAACTAAAATGAACATTAGTGAGTAATCAACATATACAACAAAAATGTACATTTTATGTTCAAAAACTGATAGAGCCATAAAAAAAATTAAATCGTGTTCATTAAGCCCTCATTCATTTCACCGATTCGAGTTTTTAATTTTAGGTTTCTACAGTTAAAAGCTCTCAGAAAATGTCACATCTAACTTTTTTTACTACAGTTAAAAGCTCTCAGAAAATGTCTCATCTCAGCTCAAATTAAAAACTCAAATCCGCAAAGTGAACGAGGCCTAAACTTGTCGCAATTTGATCTCGTACTTCATCTATTTTCAGTGATAGTAATTCTTATAATGCAAGCAAAACATTTCAGCTTTCTTAGAAATAGTGATCATTCAATCATAATTAGTACCGTATGTTAAAACTAGAGTTTCAATTATAGACACTTGAAGAGAGAAAGTGATTATTGCGTGAAACTACTGAATTGCAATATTGTGCTCATGGATCAAGCCATGCCGAAAATCCTCAAAGCAGTAAATCTACCAACAGTCAAGAGCTTTAATAAGGGAAACCATCAAATCGACCAAACAGAATATGACATGTCTGGTTTGGTTCCTAGGAAGTTTCATGATTACATTAGTAAAGTCACAACTCAGAGCAGACTAGATGCAGATAGTCCCATTTTCGATACAAACGTGTCATGCTCATTGTCTAGCCCTTCCACAAGCAATCTCATTCCATACAAGAACTTTCTTGATCTGAATTCTCTGTGCTTCCATGAGAAAGTGGAAGCACAAGTAACATTCAAAAAGTGTCATTTGCACAGTAAATTCCAACCATTTAATAAGGCATCAAATTTTGTCACTGCCAAATCACATCCAAAGTTTTTGGCCAATAATCCCTTGAATGAGAAAAACAACAGCTTTGATGGTATTTTAAAAATTGATATTTCAAAAGGTAAAATTGGTATGGCACTCTCTCTTTTATTTTACAAGGCATAAATTAAAGATCCCACTATTTTCGACATCTAATTGTTGTTGACTAGTGAAACTTCTTGAAACAGAAATAGAAGAACTTTATAGTAATATTACACAGAAGGCACTTGTTCCACCTAGAAGATCAGTTGACTCAGCAAGCTTGAGGCAAAATCTTGGGAGCTCACACTCCTCTAAACATATGATTACTATAAGAGACTCCATCTCCGATAACAAAACCGAACCCCTTGTTGAGTCTTCCACTTCTCCAACCATCAACAGAACATCGAGCGTAAGAAAAGCCATGTCCCTATACATAAAACAACCACCAAACCCTTCATTCGTGCTAAGAATTATAACCACTGGTTCCTTGGCATCTACAAAACCATTTACAAAGCAAGGAAGCCTCATATTCACATAAACAATTCACAAGACTAGAATTTTAACCACAACCCTTACTATCAAAACAACAATAATACAACTTAATCCTCTTTGTTCAACTCCAAAGACATCACAATTTAGTGGCGAAAACTTTCAAGAGAACTAACGAATTAAAGTAACATGGTGAAGACTTAACCAAAACGTTTAACACCACAAAACCGAGCAAGTCACTTTCTACCAAAAGATGACCGTTCTTCCCCCTTCCAACCAAAATAAATAAATAAATAAACCAGAAAATTATGGGCAAAAACTTTTATACGAAGAAGGAAAAAAAAAAAAAAAAAACTCAAATCGTAAACCCCCACTGTCCACCCTTACTATTAATCAGTCAGATAAGATTGCTTACTATGGTGGGAAAAGTTACGATCTTTTTTCTCTCCCTATTGCTATGTTCTAATCCTCACTCACTAGTTCTCAGCAAAAAATACCAACATTTAAATTTATGCCTGTCCTAAACAAAACGCGTTGATGAAAACTCAAAATTTGTTGTTATTTTTGCTTTATATGTTTTTACAGGTGGTAAATGAAGTGTAGTTGCAGACTATGAGAGATCGTAGTTGCGGATCTAAGCAGCTGGGTGGGGGAAGATGACAGAGGTGGGTCTGTTGGCGGGGCGAGCCTGAGTTAGCGGCTCACATGGGCTCATGAGGCAGAGCAAATTTGGGTCCGCGAATAGGGTGGTGAGCTAGCGGCGTGGCGACATGTAGGGATGCAGGCTGAAAAGGTTGCTAGGCGGCGGCGAGGAGCATGAAAGATTAAATCTGTTTTTTTTCGGCTCTGGATCAATGGGTTGAAATTGAATCATCAAAGTCTTTTGAAAGATTGATTTTTCTTTATTTTTGTGTTGGTACTTTTTTATTTCACCTTTTCTCATCTGAATGGTAGTAGAATTACTAATACGTTGTTCATTTCAGTGATTTGAGTTTTTAATTTCAGTTTGTTATAGTTAAAAGTTCATATAAAAAGTCACATATAATTTTTTATACTACAGTAAAAAGTTCCCATAAAAAGTTGTATCTCAACTTAAATTAGTGAATTAAACAACACTGATGAGTTTATTAATTATGTAAATAATTTATATAAACAATACTAAAATGATTTTATTCTTAAAATTAATTATGTAAATGGAAATGTACTACACTGATGAGTTTTAAACGTTTCATGATCACAACATTTATTATAACATAAAACTGTTACGTCTAAGAAGCTATTGATCATGCTCAAATACATACTAAATGATAAGTATATCTATGGATCTACCTAGCCATGGGTAGAGTAATATCATCACTGATCAAATCCAGTTGACTCATCTCATATGAATCTCTCAATCCATTCTCCTGAGCATTTGCAACTTTTGAAATTTCCAAACACTCCTTTAGGTCTCCCACTACTTGACCCATGGTAGGCCGTTGGGCTGAACTTGGAGAAACACAATTTATGGCAATTTCAACAACTTTCCAGGCTGTGTTCACGCTGAAATTTCCTTGCAACCTTGGATCAACTATACTATTGATACGCCCTTCTTCAAGTATTAAAGTGACCCATTCACCCAGGCAAATATTGTCATGGGCTTTTGACATTGCAGGTTTGCCTGTGATGATTTCCAACAATACCATCCCAAAGCTGTAAACATCACTTTTCTCATTTAACCTAGTTGACTTGTAGTACCTGCAGCCAAATCATTAAGATAATAACAATAATAAGAATAAAAATTCTCTTCTCAAGAATATCATTTCATAATTATCGATGTAACATGATCATTTGAAGAATGGTAGAGGAAGTGGCGTAAATGGGTGATTGCAACTGGAATTCCTCTGATCGATTCAATAGGTAATTTGTTTTATATTTCGGCCCTTTCTTCATAAGTTTGAATCACAATTCAACCTTTTTTTTCTAACAAAAATTTAAATTTAAATTCAAATTTTGCAATTCAAACACATGAAAAGAACACCCTCTTCATATTCTGAATTGGGTTAATCCCAATATAGTACCATGTCTTAGATGTATTTTGTTTATAAAGTCATGGGTACCTTGAAGATTAAATACCTAAAGAGCTGAATTTGGAGTAATTTTTTTTAACAAAGAAATAAAAATTACTTACTCTGGGTCAATATATCCGGGAGTGCCGGCAACAACTGTTGATACATGACTTGTTTTCTCAAAGCCAGTTGGAAAAGTTTTGGATATGCCAAAATCAGAGAGTTTGGCTTGGAAGTTTTCATTCAACAAGATATTTGCCGGTTTCACGTCTCTGTGGATTATAGGAGGTTTACAACCATGATGTAGATACTCCAATCCTATATAGTAAAATAAACTCAATAAAAAGGGCGAAATATGCATATTATATTATTTAATTAAAAAAATAGATAAGTTAGGATTCATTTATTCTCCAACCTTGTGCTGCATCCATTGCTATATGAAGTCTGTCTTCCCATTTCAGAATGTTAGTGGAACTATTATCTGCATGCACATTTCACATTAAAAATTAAACATTTAAATATCTATCTAATTAATTTGCCTCCAAGATTTATCTAGGGCATTTGAAGTTACTACCATGTGTGTACACAACATGTTAAAAACAAAACCCAAAAAAAAATTATTTATCATTATTGTTGATGCAATTACATGCAATTATAAGTAAAAGGTATCATATAGCAGTATAGGACACAACATGTTACACTATCTTCTGCTATATGACAATTCTACTTTACTACTATAAATGTGGTTATGTGCGATCATTGGTGTTAAATAGCAATGCTCTAATTTTTTGATTAGAAAAAAAAAGTTAGTCTCTTATTTTTTTGGTCTTAAGTATAGGTGCTAAAGAAAACCTGAGAGATGAGATTGTAGATCTCCACTGTTCATATACTCGTAGACAAGCCCAGCGTTGTTTTGATCATCAGTGAAATAACCAACAAAAGTTGTTAAATTTTTGTGATGAACTTTCAGCAGAACGCTGACCTGCAGTTAAAAAATTATAAAGATCTCAAAATTGTTTTTAAACTAGTTATATCACAATTAATTCATTGATTTTTTTGTGACATTATAAAAGACGTTATTCAGATATTTGAAACTATATATAAAACTCCTTTAAAAATAAAGAAACTATATATAAAACATGTATTTATTAGTATATATCAATATTACGTGCCTCTGCTTGAAATTGTTTATATCCTTGAAAAGATGACGGTGAAAGCATTTTCACAGCTACTTGAGTATCACCTATCTGACCATGATAAACTGTTCCAAATCCGCCTTTACCAATAATTCTCTCAAAATTGTTGGTAATTCTTAGTATGTCAGAGTATGTAAATTGCCGTTTTGTCGAGTACTCCGATGAATATTGACCAAAGGTAGATTTTGCCTTTGATGAACCTGGTAATTAAGTTGATCATGAGTAGGTAGCTGTAATTATTAGGACATGTATACATACATGATATATATATATATATATATACACACACATATATGATGTGCTATGCGCTCATGTATATGTAGAATAATCCTGTTGTCTCAAATTTTGTCCAATATTGTTGTACCAGTACTATATTTATCGAGCAATTACTTAACACTAGTTTTGCTTCCCTTAAAAAAAAAAAATCGTCGTTTCTTGTTTTCTTTACACTAATATTGCATCCATAGTTAAGGTACTAATTAATTAATTTATATACACATTTATATATGTATATATATGAAAGTTTAATGTGTCTTACCATGCTGTCTTTTCCTTTTAAGACCCCACCAGATTGCTGCGACAGCTAAGAGAAGAACAAAAGTTCCGACAAGTGATGCCACAACTGGAACAAGAAAATTTTTCTTTTTGCAAGAAACTGATGCACATAGATTTGGATTCCCACCAACACTAGCAATAAAAATGGTAGATAGCGTGCAACAAAATTGAAAGAAATTAGAGTTTAACTAAAAGATGAAGATAAATAAATAATATTATTTAGTAGCAGATCATATTTTGTTCATCTACCTAGTTATTTGATTTCTTCAAATTTAGTGGTAACATTTTACATTTATTAGTACCAGACCAAGGTCCTGTGTTGAGATATTCATTTTGAACAAAGAACTTACCTTAGTGTTAGAAGACCTTTCTCCCTTTTCTCAATAAGTTCATCTGGAAGTTGACCATTGAGGTTGTTGTTTTCAAGGTTTCTGTCATGTTACATAACAATGCATATCACCAAGCTAGCTTTTTATAACCAAGAAAAGTCTGATTATATAAAACTAAATCCGATTCAGTTACTTACAAGACCGTTAGTTCTGGCAATTGAGACAAAAAATCTGGTACTGATCCCTAAAGTTGTTGTTTGATAGATCTCTGAATTTGGTAATTATACAAATATAGTAACATAACATTAATAATCATATACTAAATTAAATGTTCATACTATCACAATAAATCTCTGTGCTGAACTTACAAGATTCGTATCATCGTAAGGTTAGCTACGGAAGGTGCTATCTCCCCCTTCAGTTCACTTGAAGACAAGTTCCTGATTGCATTTACATTCTTTAGTTGCACATGTTATATAGTACAAATTAAGATGCAAAATCAAAAGACGATTTAAAGGAAACAACACACACACACATATATAGATACTTACAAGGATATAATTCTTGGGGTAGTATTCTCATAACTACAATTTAGACCTTCCCATAAATACTTTTTAGGAGCACATGGATCTCCTTGCCAGTTTCTCCGTAATCCATAAGTTGACTTGAGTGTGGTGATGGCATCAACTGTAATGATTTTAAATATGCATATATATTTATATATTAAATCTTATATCAAAGTATTATAATATAAATAAACTTATATATATATGCGTAGTGTTACCATTCTTCTAGGAGATACTATATACGTTGCTTGTATCATAAAGTGAGAAGTATAACATGACATTTATTAAACATAACATAATTAATATTTTTAGTGTTACACTTATGATGTCAGTGCAACATTAAATAAATGTCATTATGTTTCTCACTTGTATATGTATGTTACAGTGAATATATGGTCTCTGAAAGTACCAAAGTGCCCATATATGTGTGTAATATTATGTACTGCATTTAAGGTAAGGTCCTTTCATACAAGATCATTATAAAGCACATACCATCTTGTTGGTCAGATTCAGACTCTGAAAATTCTTTGACAGTGTAAATCTCAAAGGCATTGATAATGGGTGGATGAGTTGAGGCTTCAGTCTTGCGGATTGAGAAATTATGGTAAAATCCCGAAAATGGAGTTTCGGCGTGCAACGTTGTTCTTTGCAAGTGCTTTGGGGAAACAGGTCCAAACAAGAGATCACCGTTGTAGAATATGTTGAATTCTCTAGACTCGTTGGCTTGGAGTTGTTCGATTTCAGCAAAGTGCATGTAAAAATAATATGTACCGTTACTAAATTCATCAGTTGCAGTCCACGGAAATTCCAAAGGAGCTTCTTCGTTTTTCGGTGTGAAAGCAGTGCTCATAATTAGTGATGGTATGCTATAATGGTCGGATTGATCTTCAGAATCAATGGGTAGATTTGTGCTTAATTCTTTCCAATCATCATATTTCTGTGCAGACCAGAGACGATCATAAACATCCATGTCCTCTCCATAATACCTAAACAAAAAGTTTCCAATTCAGTATGCGATATATATTACAATTAAAAGCTTTTGTGCAAAAAGTCGGATTTTTAACAACTCACAATTTCACATCTCTATTTATCTCTTTTCCGGTTGTCAGCACTGTTAGTTTTGGAATTACGAGTACAGTGTCACTTTGTTGTTGTTAATAATCCTTATAAACTAAAAAATTTTGCATTTACTATTGTAATTATTTATGTTAAAACTTCAGTTAATTACTACGTAACTGAGATGTGATTATCTCTAGAAATTTCGGGCATTATTTTAATTATAATGGTAGGAACTAAAACTCCCAACAAATCATGGACTAATAGTGTTAGTAACCCCTTTTAATAATTGTCAAAAATTTAACTATGCTTTTTTTTTTCCTCCCTCTCTCTCTTTTTACGGTATCTAATGTTTGTACTGGCATTTTCCAATTGATACCTCCGTCCAGTGGTCTCTGAAGTTTGCAAAAAGTTTTCGTTGAGGTTATAAAACTTGTACATATATACGTTTGGAAGGGGGAAAAAAAAGAGAAAAGATTCATCATGAAATAATAAAAATTCCCATGGATTACCCCTAAATGTTTTTAAGAGAAAATTGCAGATCAATTTACCTTTAAGAGTGCATAAGTCTGAATTTTTATCCCTCATTCTTGATTAATACCGGCCTTTTTGCTAGTATAGTTATTTGACTAAAAAGGTTATTATTCAAGAGTAATAAGTAAAAATCTATACTCATGCACTCTTAAAGAGTATTTGTCTATTTTCTCCTAAATTTAATGTCCAGCTTCAATTAGAGAACTAACAAAAGACAAGGTTTAGGAGCTTACTTATTCTATTTTCTAGGTCGGATTTTCAAAGTGTCAAGACAGGTTAAAGCATAAAAGGTATAGCTGGTGGGATGGATCCATATGTGCACATATGGGTAACTCAATGTACATAATGGTATGAACAATTTTGAATGCCGCATAACAAATAAAATTCGTAAGGATTAATATATATATATATAGACATAATAATTGTGAACTTAACGTTGATAGTATTTATAGAACGTAACGTTGACTATAATACACCTCTCTAACATCTATTTATGTTTAAGTGGTTATCATGTTATATTTTTCATTTCTACATGTTATGTTGGTGGACCATAATAAAAGTGTGTGTGTGTGTGAGATGATGACATCTGGGATAACTCACCCGGGGTATGTACTGATATTAGTCATAAACCGTCCGAGCAATGCCAAGGATCCTGTTTGAGCTTGATAAATTGAATTATCCAAAGGCCTTATTTCTATTGCTGATATATATGGGATACCATGGCCCGTATTCACCAGGCAAATATGAATATGGTTTTTTTGAGGTACATGTATGATCTCTAGATTGATTGCGGAACTTGAAGTGTCCGACACTGACTCCCACAAACTGGCTCCAAGATATAGGTCGAAAGCCGGCGGTATATCTTCACCATCGTAATTCCCGTAAAGGAATATTGCTCGGACCAAATATTTAGTACCTGTTGTGACCCCTATTTTGTAGCAATTTCTGTCTCCATCTGGGAAGCTTCTAAGAGAACGATACGGGCCATACGTATCATCTTGGTATTCTTTTGATACGACCTTCCTTTCACCAGTGTCTGTGAATGCCTCATCAGAAACGTACTTTAAGCCTGTACTCTCCTCATAATAACTAGACTTGTTAGGTTGTAAGCCGCAATCTATACTGATATACCCTGAGACATTAATCATACTAGTGAGTGGTGGTGAATAATTTTGTAACTTCTCTATAATGTTAAGTTTGATTACTGTATTATTAATTTTTAATTTATTTAACAATCGACATTTTATTTTATTGTTGATACGCATTCAACACTAACAATCACTTTTAAAATAGCAACACATATGAATACATCTTGAAAAATGGGATTTCAAATCATGTCAATAGGAATAAATTACGAAACTGAAAGGATGCCGTGAAAAGGTCTTTTCAGAAAAGATACATTTGAAAAAAATAAAATAAAATTGTTGATCGGGCCAATTAGGAAAAGAAATAATAAAAAATTACTTGATATAATAAGGATTGTATGGAAAAAAAATAGTATGAACACATCTTGAAAAAACATGTTTTAATAGGAGCAAGTGAGAAAAAAAAGTATTTAACAAATATAAAAAATTAAATTATAGTAGAATTTTTGGCAAAAATAGAAAAAAGTAAGGACATATAAGTTATTTTAATAAGGGTAAAGCGTGAAAAAAAGTATTATAAAGAATAAAGCTGAAAAAAAAATGATTCTTTGGCAAAAAGACAAAAAAAGGAGCAAAGAGAGAGAAAAGCAGACATTTTAAGACAAAAAGGAGTTTTTTTTTTTTTTTTTTTCCGTAAAAAGGAAGTGGGCCTTCCTTCGCACAAGAGTCAAAGCGTAAGGGTTATTCTTTTAAAGTGTAATTTGAGTGTAATTTTTTAATTAAATTTGAGTTATAATTTAAGTTAAAGTTAAAATTTAAATAAAATTGAGTAAAATTGAATAAAGTTGAAACTTAAAAAAATGTAAACTTAAATAAAATTAAAATTTGAGTTATCTTTTTTTGAGTTTTTTAAACAAAAGAACATGTTCTAAATCTTTTTAAAAAAATTAAAGATAAAATAGAGAGTTTTACTTGATCAGTGGGGGTAGTTCTTTAAAATTAAGGTAAATAATAGTGTTTTGAGCAACAAATATAATGGTTTTATTTCTCTTCAGTGGGGCACGTGGATCCATCTTGTATACCATATGGACAATCTATTTTGATCAAACCTTCTAGAAAAGACAAGAATTTGATTCCTTTTCAAACTCCAATTTCAAATATATCTAATTTCAAAAGAAAAAGAAAACCCTTATCTCTATATAATAAAAGTGTGTTAAAACAGGCTGGTGTCTTTGATTTTGTTTTTCCAATTTTTCCCTCATTCTTCTTCTATTTTTCCTTGTTTGTTTTTTGTTTTGTTTGTATGCTTCCTTTGGCTATCATTTGGCGGTCAGATTTTTGGCGCGTAAGAATGAATCTAATTGAGTATTGTAATCAATTAGATGATGTTTGATTCATAGATTTAAAATCATGATTTAAATTTATTTTTGATTTACGTGTATTTTTTGTGAGAAAAAATACTGTAACGAGCCACGAACTATAATTCAAATCATGACACGAATCTACTAACTAAACGCACACTTACTATCAGAGGTAGAATTTCTTAAGATGAATGCTCTATGAGAATTAAGACAATAAGTAGATATAATAAAAGCGTGATAAAATAGACAACTCATGAAATATTTTTTTTTTTTCATTTATGCTCTTCACATTTTCTATTTTTCACTTATTTTTTACCTACTCTTTTCTCTTACTCCGAGTTTAAGAAAAAAAACGGTTAATTTTTATTTCTATTTATACGTTTTACCTTTTGTATTTTATATTTACTTGTTATTAATGTTTTTCTATTATTTTTTTTTCATTTATACCCTTTACCTTTTATTCTTTCACTTACTTATTGCCTATTCTTTTCATAAAAAAAGGGTTTAATTTGTGTTTTCATTTATGCCCTTAATCTTTTATACATTTATTTCTTTTATCTTTTGTTCTTTTACTTACTTTTTACATATATATATATATATTCTTTCCTCTTATTTATAATTTAAGAAAAAACTGTTTAATTTTTATTTCCATTTATGCTCTTTACTTTTTGTGCTTTTTTCTTACTTGTTATGTATATTTTTCTCTTTTATAGAGCTTAAAAAAAACGGTTTAATTTTTTATTTTTGTATCCACTTATGCTCTTCACCTTTTCTATTTTTAGTTTTTTACTTGTTATCCACTCTCTCTTCTTATTTAGAGTTTAAAAAATGTGATTTACTTTTTATTTCTATATATACTATTTGTCTTTTATGTTTTTTACTCATTTATTATCGGTTGTTTTATCTTATTTAGAGTATAATAAAAAGTGATGAAACCAAATAATGTTTATATTACGGTGATCAAATTATAGTTAAAACTTATTTATCAGTATCATAAATTTTTTTCTCTAATAAATAATAAATATGCTAATCAAAATTTATGTCTTATTGCAACTGATCGTACATGCCTTTTTTTACTAGTCCTATATATAGGCTTTATTTTCCTCCCACAACTTTCTCTCTTCATTCTCTCTCTCAGTTTCACATCCTCTCTCCCTCACGCTCTCCTTTCCTTCACGTTCTTCCTCTCCTATCTCTCTCTTTCTTACTTGCACGCCTAAATCTCAGAGAAAATAGAGAACATTCTTCCAAACACCAAATTCATATTCTCTTACGAGTCTTTGTTTCCGATATGCAACCACGAGGAAGATTGAAAAGTATGTTATCGTGATTCATGGGTTGATTGATTAAGAAAAGCATGCAATTTTTATGATTTCAAATTATGGTGAGAGTTTTGTGATTTAAACAAAATATAAAATGTGCTAAATATTCAATTATACGTTATCAACTGAGCTGAATATTCGTTATGATTGTAACACAAGTTGAAATAAAGACTTAAGTTTCTTGTTAGGATATTCTAGATGTTGATACCTGTTTGGTTCTGGGCATCGCCGCTTGTAAGAGCAATATCAGCGAGAAATAGTGCAAAGAAGACATACAGCTTCAACTCCATCTGTATTCAGCATTTTCACACTGATTTAGGGGAATAATAATAACAATAATTATAATAATAACAACAACAACAACAATAATAACAGTAAATCTTCTAGTTTAATTCATCTCTAACGATCAGAGTTGAATCGAGTACATACCAGCTGTGAAGAAGCTAGTTTTGTTTTACTCATGAAAACTAGCTGCGAAAAAATTGAGTACTTCTTAGATCGATACGCTAACTTTTATAGAAGTGATAATTAACTGTTGCTTATAAAAGACTATACCCGTTGACTTAATAATAATGTCCGTATAAATTTTATGAAGAATATTTCTTTTTTAGGAATAATACGGAAAATTCAAAACTAAAGAAACGACACAGAATTATTGATGGTCTTACTAGGTCACATCACTTTAACGTGTAAGAAAATTTTAAAGCTTCTAAAAAAATGAATTATTAATAATTTTTAAATTTATATGAAAATTTATCTATTTTACATATATTTTTACTTTAAAATGATTTTAATCAAATTTAATAATTAAATATTAAGACTACTAGTTAGGCAAAAAATCCTTAATATTTAAGCTCAAAATTTTTTCGCACATCAAAATGATGTGACTTGATAGGACCGTCAATAATTTTGCTTGGTTTCACAATATAATTTAGAAGCAAAACGTAATTGTAATAATAACATAATAAAGGATCTTCCAGTTCCCACTCTGACGAAAATTTCTTCTAGCGATTCCGTACCAACAGCATCGAGAAGTTTTGTTTTGCTTATCAAAAATAGCTGTGAAGAAAATTGAACGATGGAGTTCTTAGATTGATGCGCTTTTATATATAGACGTGATATTATTATTTTTTTACAAAAATAAAATTATGCATAAATATCAAATTTTATAGAAGTGATATAAATGCTGCTTAAAAATGTCTTTATAAAATACGTAAAAAAATACAAAATTAAAGAAAGCACGTGAAATTATTCACGATTCTTGTAAAAGTCACATCACTTTGACGTGAAAATTAATTTGAGTTAAAATATGTTTCGAAATTAAAGAAACATATTTTAATATGTTTCAAAATTAAAATATATTAATTTGAGTTAAAATATATTTCCTCAAAAAGGGATTTTCCAAAAAATTCAACTCTGCTTTTCTATAAAAAAAAAATAAAAACAACATTTGATGATGTCAGGATTCAAGATTTAGTGAAAATTATTTGAGCAATATTTCTCCTCAAAAAAGAAATAACGGCTTCTTAGAGATAAATCTTGAACAACATGTTCTTCCATTTTTTTATTTTAGATAATCAACTTTGATTTTTACTAAAATACTCAACAAAATTGTTGAGGCTGTTTGGAACCGTTTTCAAAAACGTTTTATACGTTTTCTAATGACCAAAAAATGAAAACGCTTTCAGATTCGTGTTTGGCAGCCCATTTTCTGAAAACAAAAATTGAAAACGTTTTTGTACTTATTCTCAAAAAGTCACAAAAACTGAAAATGATTAAGGATCGTTTTCAGTTTCTATTTTTCTTTCCCCGACTGCCCCCCTGTCTAATCCATTACTTATTACTAGACTATTGTCTATTTATATTACGTTCGTACACGAGTAAATTTTTTTTTTCTTTACTTTAACCCTCAGGTTCTTAACATGTTTTTAGCATGTTCTTTTGTTATAAGATTAATTCATCTTGCTAAAATTCAAGAAATCGGATATGGAACTAGTCCCCGAAAACTTATCTTAACTTATTACAGTCTGTTGTTCTTTACTAAGACAATGACTGTATACATTTTTTTCTTAAAACTGAATATACAAACTGGTGTTCTATGTTACACTACTTTGCAGCGAAATTTTCCTAAGCGGGCGTAGTAGACACCACTCCCGTGTGCCCATGACATTTCCGCCACCTCGCATCAGCCAGTCCACCAGGCAAAACTAATACATAGCTGGCTGTTTACCGTTGTTACCTGCACACGAGTAAACTAATGAGCGAAAGCTCAGCAAGTATAAACATGCACACATCATAAACTGGTAACAATACATAATGTGTCATGATGCGAAAATGCACATGTGAAACATACTTTAAAAACTGCTTTCTGTCTTTCTGTTCTTACTATTGTGGGCCTGGGCCCCTGCTTACGGTTCTTGTTACTGTGGGCCTAGGCCCCTGCTTACTGTTTGGTCTAGCCGGCATCTCATACTCTTTGAGATTTCCTCCCTTGGGAGGCCGACGACCCGTCAGTCTCTTACTTTACTGAACTTTGAGTTTTCATTTCAAAGTGTTTAAAACGTTACTGAATGCTATGCAATGTTTTCTCTACGTGCACATGCTAATATGAAAATGCATAATACTCTATGTATACCTTATACTGAGCATTAGGGTAACCATAGGTCGCCCTTCTGCAATCTAGGGCACTAGGCCCTCCAAACACTTAAAATCACATTGACTTAGGAATTCAAGCAAATTTATAATTCTAAGTCCAACTACAGTTTACTCGAGTACAGACAAACATATATGTCTACACTTACAAATAATCCGCTAGGATTCCCGCTTGCTGGAAGTTCTTTTTTGTTGCTTCGGCTCTCGTGCCAAGACCTGTTTCATGGAAATAGGTATCAATTTCCTATTCCAAATCACAATTCCTCATACTTAGATTCCTAAATCTAATTTCAAACTCGTTTTTGAACTTTTTTCCTAAGCTGAATTTCTAGCTTAAGAGGCAAATTCTACAAATTTGTGTGTCTCGGTTTCTGAACCTCAATCTATTCATTTTCGAGCTTTAAAACTATTATTCATTCTCAAGAGTCGAATTCCTAACTCATTACTTACTAACTAGGTTTTAGAAAATTTCGGCAGAGTTTCGCCTTTTATTATTTAATATATTATTACATGTTTTTAAAAATTAAACCACCAAACGAAGTTTCAATTTTTTTTTTTAAACTCAAATCAATCTCTGACTAAAACTACCAAACGCATTTTCATAAATAATTCCAAAATGAAAATGAAAACGTTTTTATTTCTATTTTCATACAGAAAATAAAATCATTTTGGAACTAATTCTAAACGCACCCGTTATTTTTGAAGTTAAAATGCAATGTTTCTTTTATACATGGAAAAGATTTATTTTCACCCGTTAAAAAAGAAGATTGAATTATTATTCAAAACTATCAAAACGAGGCAGTTGTGGAAATTTAAAACTGTTTTTAGGGTATAATACAAATTTAAAACTGTTACTCCATAATAACCTAAACAATACGCAAATAACTAGAGTCTAGAATCAAGCATCAGCTGAAAACTGTAAAAGCCTGTACAACGTGAGTAGCGCGTTTGATTAATAACCTATAGTCAAGTCAATCCTGAGCCCAAAGTTTACTCTAAGGGAAAGACCAAAAACTAGGTCACTGTCTATTGTAGAAGATTTAAGGCCAACTGGCAAAGTTCGTTTCTTTTGGTGAAAATTCTAATGCAAAGTCCTTGCACTTCTGTTGACTTGTGTGATGGGCTCATAATTAACATATGATGGGCTCATAATTAAAATATGAGAAACGTACGCTAGGATTTCTTTTTCAATCGCTTTCTTTTTTATTCTCTCCCTTCATTTCTAATGCAAAGTTCCTTGCACTTCTTTTGGTGAAAATTCTAATGCAAAGTCCTTGCACTTCTGTTGACTTGTGTGATGGGCTCATAATTAAGACATCTAGAACCTATTTTTGAATTTTTTACAGACTATTGCCAAATCATGCCACTAGACAAAATACCCAACATGAACAAAAATGTCACCGTTGAACATTTTGAATGCAAAGATTTTTCCCCTATTCTTTTTTGCCATTTTGCATCCACGTCCACTTCTTTTGGTGAAAATTCTAATGCAAAGTCCTTGCTTGACTTGTGTGATGGGCTCATAATTAACGTATGAGAAACGCTAGGATTTCTTTTTCAGAAATAGTAGAAAATATGCTAATATAAAAAATTTAAGAAAGTATATAAGTTAATTTTTAGTTATAGAAATTAATAGACCATAACTTATTAAGTTATAGTTCATAATCAAATAAGTTATGGACAAACTTGTCAAGTTATGGTTCATAACCAGACAAGTTATGGACAAAAACTGTAAATTATGGACAATAACTTTGCAAGTTATGGTTCATAACCAGACAAATTATGGACAAAAACAGTAATTTGGCCTATTTATTAACTTATGTAAACTCTTGGCCTATTAATTTTAATTCATCTCAAGTCTTGGCCTATTTTCCTCTTTCTCCCTTTCTTTTTCAATTGCTTTCTTTTCTACTCTCTATATTTAGGCACTGTTCATTTCATCTATTTAAATTTAGAATTTGAGTTTTTATACAGTAAAAAGCTCTTAAAAACAGTCACATCTAACTTTTTTACAACAGTAAAAAGCTCTTACATAAAGTCACATCTCAACTCAAATTAAAAACTCAAATCAGTGAATTAAATGAGCCATTATTATTAAACATAATATAATATTATTTAAATAAAATAATAGAATTTACGTGTCAAATAATTAATACAAAAAATAAATAAAAAGTGACAAAAAAAAATGATGCTAACAAAAAGAGAGTAACATCACCATATATGCTACACATAATCCGTAGCATAATCCTGAATTTTAAATCTCGTAGTTTTAACTTTCACAAAGCCAACCTTACCAACTTGGCACCGAATCTAACTAGTCTTGTAAGCAATATCTTCAAATGATCATGTCCTTTATCTGCACAGTGTTCTAATTTCAAAAGTCAAACCATGTGCTGCACTTATAAAGCAATTTGAACTTCTTGCTTATCACATCCACGTAATTAGCTTTTAATCACCAAGAATCCATATTTCAATTTTGAAACCAAACATATCTTCTCATGCAAAATCAGCAGCAACTTTAAATATCATAATCTGCATCAAGATCAGCTCTACAGCAACACAAAAGCATATTTTCTTTTCAAATTCGAATTCAAATATAACTTGAATTCCAAAATCAAATCAAGCCGAATCTGCCGTAAAAATCCAGATAAAATCGGATTCAAATACTCCGTGAAAATCTCTACTCCAAATCTGCTATGAAACTGATTCTTAATCCGAATCTGCATTAAGACATCTAGAACCTATAGTTGAATTTTTTACAAACTATTGCCAACTAGAAAAAATACCCAACATGAACAAAAATGTCACAGTAGAAAATTTTGAATGCAAAGTCGACTATTGGTGCCTTTGAACTAAGATTTCTAATTCTACTATTGGTTTAGAGTTTTCTGCTGCTACTGATGCAGGTTGCTTGTCATTGTTCAAAGTCGAAAGTCTTGGACTGATAACTTTCTGGTAGTCCCTTTAGTTCATATGCTGAAGATGCCTTTGAACCAAAGGAATGAACTCAATGCTTTCTTTAGATTCTATATCCTGGAACATTCCTCAATATCTTATTCTACAGTAGCCTCCGTGTTGGCAACTACCTACTAAGTGTATTACTTATGACGACTGCACATTTGTACACTATATACACCCAGGTACTTAAATTGAAAGAGGGGAAGAGTTACATGACTTGCCTTAATTGTAATGTCCTTGTAATTGTAATGCGTGTTCAATCGCAACTTCACCTGAAATTCAATGGAGTAGACATGAATCTTTAGTGAAACATGCTTACCTGATTAGATTATTGGAACTAGTTATAAACATTAACTCTACATGGGAAAAACCAACTAGAGAGGACGCCAAAGGGCCCGTTTGGCAGTGTTTTAAAATGGTTTTGTTTTAATTTTCGTTTTCAAAGCGTTTACTAACCAAACGCTGTTTAGAGACTATTTTCGTTTTCGCTTTCGTGCCTCAAAAGACACGCAGAAACGTTTTCAAAAACAGTAAAAGACAATACCAAATGCACCCAAGATTTCTCAAGTCAAACTCTCAAAGTATTAGAACAGAGTAAAACATTGCAGACATACCTTTTCTTCTGTATCATGAAAGCGTTGAGTAAGCCTTGAAGCAATTTCATTTGTCAACACAATACCACATTCTCAAATGAATTGTAAAATACGAATATCGAAATGTGATAAACATACAGTAAAACAAAAGTTAGCAACTGAGCATTGGAATTCATGTTCGAGTCAAACTTACTATTTTTCGTTTTCGTTTTCGTTCTTTTTTTTTTTTTTTCTTTTTTTTTTGTGTTTCCACATAAGTAAACATTAAAACAAAAAAAAAAACAAAAAAGAAAGAAAAAAAGAAAGAAAGAAAGAATGATGATAAGAGCAGCAAAAATGAACTCATACATCTAAAACAATAAAAATATCTGGTTCAAACCCATATCCCTTGAGAGCAATTGCTTGTGATGAGCTCCTAGGAAATCACCAACAGCATGATCATATGTTAAGTGAACACGTTGTACTACCATAACAACTATCTCATCTGGAACCAATTGTCCTTTCTCCATGTACTCCTTTGCTCTCACTTCCCAGCTGCAATTTCTGCCCTAAGCAAATCTCCAGCGGCAATTTGCACCAAGCCATACTGCATACAGAACAATATTTGATTCAATCTGTTAGTCTCTTGCGAAGTAATTTTGAAATGAGATATTCATAATCTAATCCCGTGACTTTATGACAATGACAAATTGGGACAAAAGATCAACAACAATTAACTTGTAGTAGAATGCAAAAAACACGGAAACCAAATTCATCAACGTGACATACAAAAATGAACTATGTAAACGAGATAATGTCCACAATCACATTTATTGTGAAACATTTGCTTCATTTGCATACCTATCAAGCACGAGATTGTCGAAAGGTGTTGCAAAATTTCAAGCAAAACCCCAAAGGGTCAGGCATGGAGAAACACCTCGAAACCTCATGCAGATCTCAAGGAAATAGAGAACCTGCAACATCGGCGGCGAAGAAATTCCAATAAAATTCTTTCCAATTTTCGCAACTACCATAAAACACGGAATAATTTTTAGTACAAGTTAAAGCCATCTAAAACACACTAATTTGTTTTCTTCACAGTATGCAGAAACCAAAAAGGACCATATGGATGTGTTCTCTTTAGTCTACATCCAATGTTCTCAAATAACCCAATGAAAATGAAAATAAAAATTGCCTGAGCACATAAAAATTGCCTGAGCAGAAGCTGCCCATAAAACTTACAATAATCTCTGACTTTCCACATTTCCACCTATTTACACCATAAGAAACTACTCACTCTCTGCTCGTCTAAGGGTGTGTTTACTAATCAATAATCATGAAGGGGAAAGAAATTGATATGTAATTAGTGCTGAGTGTTTGGTAAAATGTAAAGGGGAAAACAGCTGAGTGTTTGGTAAAATGTAATTAGTGCTGATTTCAAAATCAGTCTAATGGCATTTTGTAAATTTTGAGGCTGAATTGCTGTGAGTATGTATAATGACAAAAATAGACATTTGTATGAAACTTAAATATATATAATTATTTTTGGTATTTAGAAATACTTGTTGAGCTTACAAAAAAAAAATAATGCTATAATTCTGAATTTTCTAACAATAAATTTAGTGACAATTAATTATTTTTTCATTTCTTCATTCACAATATTGTTACAACTAAAATGAGCATTAGTGAGTAATCAACATATACAATAAAAATGTACATTTTGTGTTAAAAAACTGGTAGAGCCATGAAAATAATTAAATGGTGTTCATTAAATTTGTCGCAATTTGATCTCGTACTTCATCTATTTTCAGTGATAGTAATTCTTATAATGCAAGCAAAACATTTTAGCTTTCTTAGAAATAGTGATCATTCAATCATGATTAGTACCGTATGTTAAAACTAGAGTTTTAATTACAGACACTTGAAGAGAGAAAGTGATTATTGCGTGAAACTACTGAATTGCAATATTGTGCTCATGGATCAAGCCATGCCGAAAATCCTCAAAGCAGTAAATCTACCAACAGTCAAGAGCTTTAATAAGGGAAACCATCAAATCGACCAAACAGAATCTGACATGTCTGGTTTGGTTCCTAGGAAGTTTCATGATTACATTAGTAAAGTCACAACTCAGAGCAGCCTAGATGCAGAGAGTCCCATTTTCGATACAGACGTGTCATGCTCATTGTCTAGCCCTTCCACAAGCAATCTTATTCCATACAAGAACTTTCTTGATCTGAATTCTTTGTGCTTCCATGAGAAAGTGGAAGCACAAGTAACATTCAAAAAGTCTCATTTGTACAGTAAATTCCAACCATTTAATAAGGCATCAAATTTTGTCACTGCCAAATGACATCCAAAGTCATTGGCCAATAATCCCTTGTATGAGAAAAACAACAGCTTTGATGGTATTTCAAAAGGTAAAATTGGTATGGCACTCTCTCTTTTATTTTACAAGGCATAAATTAAAGATCCCACTATTTTCGACATCTAATTGTTGTTGACTAGTGAAACTTCTTGAAACAGAAATGGAAGAACTTTATAGTAATATTACATAGAAGGCACCTGTTCCACCTAGAAGATCAGTTGACTCAGCAAGCTTGAGGCAAAATCTTGGGAGCTGACACTCCTCTAAACATATGATTACTATAAGAGACTCCATATCTGAAATGTACTACACTGATGAGTTTTAAACGTTTCATAATCACAACACTTATTATAACATAAAACTGTTACGTTTAAGAAGCTACTGATCATGCTCAAATACATACTAAATGATAAGTATATCTATGGATCTACCTAGCCAAGGGTAGAGTAATATCATCACTGATCAAATCCAGTTGACTCATCTCATATGAATCTCTCAATGCATTCTCCTGAGCATTTGCAACTTTTGAAATTTCCAAACACTCCTTTAGGTCTCCCACTACTTGACCCATGGTAGGCCGTTGGGCTGAACTTGGAGAAACACAATTTATGGCAATTTCAACAACTTTCCAGGCTGTGTTCACGCTGAAATTTCCTTGCAACCTTGGATCAACTATACTATTGATACGCCCTTCTTCAAGCATTAAAGTGACCCATTCACCCAGGCAAATATTGTCATGAGTTTTTGACATTGCAGGTTTGCCTGTGATGATTTCCAACAATACCATCCCAAAGCTGTAAACATCACTTTTGTCATTTAACCTATTTGACTTGTAGTACCTGCAACCAAATCATTAAGATAATAACAATAATAATAACAATAATATGAATAGGAATTCTCTTCTCAAGAATATCATTTCATAATTATCGATGTAACGTGATCATTTAATGAATGGTAGAGGAGGTGGCGTAAATGGCCAATCCTATCAGGAGGATTCCTCTTCGCATATAGTGATTGCAACGGAAATTCCTCTATTCGATTTAATAGGTAATTTGTTTTACATTTCGGCCCTATTTTCATAAGTGTGAAACACAATTCAACCTTTTAGCTATCATTTTTTTCTAACAAAAATTTAAATTTAAATTCAAATTTTGCAATTCAAACACATAAAAAGAACACCCTCTCATATTTTGAATTGGGTTAATCCCAATATAGTACCACGTCTTAAGACCAATCCTACTGGGAGGATTCCCCTTGGCATATAGAAATTGCAACTGGAATTGCTTTGATAGATTTAATAGGTAATTTGTTTTACATTTCGGACTTTTTTCGTAAGTTTGAATCACAATTCGACCTTTTTGCTATCATTTTTTAACAAAAATTTAAAATTATATTCAAATTTTGTAATTCAAACACATAAAAAGAACACCCTCTTCATATTCTGAATTGTGCGATCATCGGTGTTAAATAGTAGTGCTCTAATCTTTTTATTAGAAAAAAAAAAATTAGCCTCTTTTTTCTTTTTTTTTATGTCTTAAGTATAGGTGCTAAAGAAAACCTGAGAGATGGGATTGTAGATCTCCATTGTTCATATACTCGTAGACAAGCCCAGCATTGTTTTGATCATCAGTGAAATAACCAACAAAAGTTGTTAAATTTTTGTGATGAACTCTCAGCAGGACGCTGACCTGCAATTAAAAAATTATGAAGACCACAAATGTTTTTTTTATTATTTTTAAAAAAACTTGTTATATCACAATTAATTCATTGATTTTTTTTTTTGTGACACTATAAAAGACGCTATTGAGAGATTTGAAACTAGATATAAAACTCCTATAAAAAAAAAAGCAACTATATATAAAACAAGTATTTATTAGTGCATATCAATATTACGTGCCTCTGCTTGAAATTGTTGATATCCTTGAACAGATGATGGTGAAAGCATTTTCACAGCTACTTGAGTATCATCTATCTGACCATGATAAACTGTTCCAAATCCGCCTTTACCAATAATTCTCTCAAAATTCGTCGTAATTCTTAGTATGTCAAAGTATGTAAATTGCCGTTTCGTCGAGTACTCCGATGAATATTGACCAAAGGTAGATTTTGCCTTTGATGAACCTGCTAATTAAGTTGATCATGCGTAGGTAGCTGTAATAATTAGGACATGTATACATACATGATATATATATATATATATATATATTTATATACATATATGATGTCCTATGCACTCATATATATGTAGAATAATCCTGTTGTCTCAAATTTTGTCCAATATTGTTGTACCAGTATTATATTTACCGAGGAATTACTTAACACTAGTTTTGCTTCCCTTAAAAAAAAAAAAATCGTCGTTTCTTGTTTTCTTTACACTAATATTGCATGCATATAGTTAAGGTACTAATTAATTAATTTATATATGTATATATATATATATATATGAGAGTTTCATGTGTCTTACCATGCTGTCTTTTTCTTTTAAGACCCCACCAGAATGCTACTACAGCTAACAGAAGGGCAAAAGTTCCGACAACTGATGCTACAACTGGAACAAAAAATTTTTTCTTTTTGCAAGAATTTGATGCGCATAGATTTGGATTCCCACCACCACTAGCAATAAATAGATAGCACACAACAAAATTGAAAAATTTGATTTCAACTAAAAGATCAAGATAAATATGTAACATTATTTAGTAGAGATCTCTGAAAATTTGCATGGCGTTGATACACCGTGTGTTACTTATAACTTTTATTCATACATTTCTATATACGTAGATTTTTTGGTAACGTTTTAAATTCATGAAAAATAGACTATGGTCCTTGATCTAGATATTAATTTTGAACAAAGAGCTCACCTTAGTGTCAGAACGCCTTTCGCCCTTTTCTCTATGAGTTCAGCTGGAAGTTGACCATTGAGGTTGTTATTTTCCAGGTTTCTGCCATGTTACATAACTATGTATATATCACCAAGCTATCTTTTTTTAACAAAGAATAGTGTCATTATATATAAAATTCGAATCAGTTACTTACAAGACAGTTAGTTCTGGCAATTGGGACAAAAAGTCTGGCACTGATCCCGTTAAGTTGTTGTTTGATAGATCTCTGAATCGGGAAATTAAGCAAGAATAGATACTTATTGAAACATTATAGCTAAAGATTCATTACTATCAGTATAAATCTATGTGCTGAACTTACAACATTCGTATCATCTTAAGGTTAGCTATGGAAGGATCAATCTCGCCATTTAATTCACTTGAAGACAAGTCCCTGATTGCATTTATATTCATTAATTAGTCTCACATGTTATATATAGTACTAATTTGAATGCAAAACCAAAAGATGATTTATATTAAACACAAACATACAGTATAGATATACTTACAAGGATGTAATTCTCGGGGTCTTTTTCTCATAGCTACAATTTAGACCTTCCCACAAATACTCTTTAGGAGCACATGGATCTCCTTGCCAGTTTCTACGTAATCCATAAGTTGACTTGTGTGGTAATGGCATCAACTACATATAATGATTTCAAAGGTGCATATATAATTTAAATCTTTCTATACATATATCAATGAATTATATAAATACATATGAATTTTTATTGTCTTTACTTCTCCATACTATCATGTTATACTATCATGTTATATATGCTTCTCGCTATTGTATGTTACGATAAAAGTATGATCTTCCCAACAGTACTAAAGTAATATTGCTGATATATGTGTGTATATGTGTGTATACATGATACGTATATTATGTCTGCATTTAAGCCATGCATGGTGTTTTCATACATGATTGATATAACGTACATACCATCTTGTTGGTCAGATTCAGATTGTAAGAATTCCTTGACAGTGTAAGTCTCAAAGGCGTTGATAATGGGTGGATGAGTTGAGGCTTCAGTCTTGGAGAGTGATAAATTATGGTAAGATCCCGAAACCGGAGTTTTAGTGTACAACGTTGTTCGTTGGAGGTACTCTGGGGAAACAGGTCCATACAAGAGTTCACCATTGTAGAATATGTTGAATTCTCTGGACTCGTGTTCTTGGAGTTGTTCGATTTCGGCAAAGTGCATATAAAAATAAGTTGAAGTACCGCTATCAGTCCCATCGTATGTTGCATTCCACCAGATATTCAAAGAGGCGTTCTCGTCTTTCGGTGTGGAAGCAGTGCTCATAACTATTGATGGTATGTTATAATGGTCGTCCGGAGACTGGGAAATAGTTCTTGTGGTACTTAAATTTCTCATAGTATCTATTTCCCAGCCCTCCCAGAGTCGATCATAAACATCGATGTCATACCTAAATCAAATCAAAAGTACTACTCTAATTCAGTATACAACAAACTAAGATCAATCTTTTTTTTTTTATAATTATTATACGATACACAAAAACGCAAATCTCAACGTAGGCTAAGTAGCTAGAAGCCTCCTTGAATGTTGTCCAAAAAAATTATCGTCCAGTTCCTAATCAGCTCGACGAAGAGTATTGCCTTACGGTTTTGATTAATTGGAAACACAAATCAATTATTGGACCAAGAAAAAAAAAATCCCCATCGTGGTAAAAATTTCCGGCCATGCTCACGAGTCCTGATTCATATTCATGGATTTCTAATGTCCAGTTTCAATAATTAAAAAAGTTTTTAGGGTTCCAGTTGCTCAATTTTTATGATAGTCTAATTATAAAAGTCCATTATCATATACATATGTATATATATTATAAAAGCCCATATATATATATGGAAAATAGTAGAAAATAGGCCAATATAAAAAGCTTAAGAAAGTATATAGGCCAGTTTTTAGTTATAGAAATTAATAGGCCATAACTTATCAAGTTATGGTTCATAATCAGATAAGTTATGGACAAACTTGTCAAGTTATGGTTCATAATCATACAAGTTATGGACAATTATGAACAATAACTTGTCAAGTTATGGTTCATAACCAGACAAGTTATGGACGAAAACAGTAATTTGGCCTATTTATTAACTTATGTAAACTATTGGCCTATTAATTTTAATTCATCTCAAGTCTTAGCATATTTTCCTCTTTCTCCCATATATATATATATATATATATATGGGGATGTTGCTAGTCCACGTATCATATCATATACTATATAAAGAAGCACAGACGTTGTTTAAAATTTTCGTTCTTCAACGCCAAGCTTGCTTGCTTGTTTCTTCTTCTTCTCTCTCTCTCTCTCTCTTTTTTTTTTTTTTTTTTTTTTTTTTTTACTTTCAAGCTTTTTTTAAATTATAATTTCAGCTTTTCTTTTTCTTTTTCTTTAATTGTATTTTCAATGTTGTTCTTTTTTTCCTCTTCCTTTTCAAATAATGCATTTTTCATTATTTCCTACTTTAAGTTTTTGTACTACAACTGTGTGTTTGCTTGCTTTTTTTTTTTTTTTTTTAATTTCAAGCTTTCTTTAATTATATTTTTCAGTTTTTTTCCCATTTTCTTTAATTGTGTTCTAAATGTTGTTCTTTTTCTTCTTCTTTTTTAAATATCTTTTACTCTTTTTTGTTATTATTTATTATTAGTATATATATAAATAACTTACTTTTTGGTATACATTTTTGTGTTATGATCAATTTGGTGGTTTAGTTGTATTACTTACGGATGATGTTGTTTTGTACTTTTGAAAATTCATTGTTAGTTTTTCGACTTTGTTATCTTCTATCTAATGTTTTATTACCTTTATTTTGTTTAATCCGATTTCTTGTTTATCCTTTTTTTTTCTATTTTCTTCATTTTTTTACTGTTCTATAATTTCTTAATTAGTTTTTTGCTACTATAAAATATCAATTTGTCCTGTTCATTTTTTTTTTGTGTTGTTTATTTGGCTTATTGTATTTTTTTTTTAGTCTGTAATGGTCGTATACTAGTAATCTAATAATACATAAAAGAGTAAAAGCTCTATACATGACAGCCCCCACTTAACTCTTTATTTTAACTTTTTAATTTTGTTGTGTTTTTTAAAATTATGTCGTTCCTCACTTTATTTTTATGACAGTAATTTTTTTTTTTGGTTAAAATAATTCTCTTCAATACGTCCCTACTTAATTTTTTCGTTAATTGTTATCTTTATATATATTTTTTAAAATAAATTCAAAAATCCTCAAATGGTTATATAAATAAATTCTCATTATTTAGTAAATAATAAACTTTCCTAGTGTCTCCAATATAGCAATACATACAGAACACGTTACAAAACTAGTATGTAGAAAAGGGAGAGAGAGAGAGATCAGAGAGAGAGAATGTTTGGGTATTTTTAATGAGCATTTTCAGTAATGCAGTGTAAACCTATTTACTAAAAGTTTTCTTAATATATACTATTAATTCTCTCTCTGGAGAGAGATTTTCAAAATTTAGGTATTTTTTTGAAGTATTTTTGGTAATGCGGTGTACACCTATTTACTAAACATTTTCTTATTATATGTTATTAAATTTATGTATCACTCCTAGATCTGCTATGTCCTTCCTTCTCCCTTATGATAATTACTATATAATTTTGTGGCCTAAAAAGTGAAATAATTATAATAATTACTATGCAATTTAGCAATTCCTAAGATATTCTTTTAAAAATTGTATGTTTCATTTCTATTCTTAACTTTTATTATTATTTCTATTTGCGGAATTATTTTATGAATAGTATCCCCTAAATTTATCATTAATTTTCTCTTTTACATTTTTTAGTTGTTGCCCTTTCTCTGGAATTTTCTGATTGCAATAGTATATACTTTTTTAAAAAAAAAAAATGGTTACACCTAAAATTTTGATATTTAGTACACTCACATTTCAAACTTAAAACTAAAATACACCAAAAAGCAACAAAACTATTACAAATGGACTCAAATCGTCTATTCAATTTTGATGTCTAAAATATTGTGTAACCAATCATATCATACTACATTATTTAAAAAATTTGAAGTTTTTTTTTTTAATTGACTTTATCTTTCTTATTCAATAAATTATATGAAAAAAATGTGATTGGTTATAGAACACTGAAATTGAACAAGTGATGTGAATCTCTATTATAAATATAATAATATAATATACTTTTTAAGTTGATGGAATAGGAGATGACTCACCTATACCCTTGATCAGAACCAGCATTCCGCCGCCAGTAGTCCAGTGCCAAGGAGTATCCCGCTTGAGCTGGATAAGTTGAATTATCCAAAGGCCTTAATTCTATTGCTGATATAAATGGGATACCATGGCCCGTCTTCACCAGGCAAATATGAATATGGTTTTTCTGATTGACATGTATGATCTCTTTGTTCATGGGGTCTAAAGAGTCTGTCGTCTTTACTGAATCCCAAAAACTGGCTCCAAAATATAAGTCGAACTCCGGCGGCATAACTTGATTGTCGTGATTTCCGTAAAGGAACGATGACCGGATCAAATGTTTCAACATCTATTTTGTAACAATTATTGTCTCCTTCAGGGAAGCTCCGAAGAGAAAAATACGGCTGTTGAATTTTATCTTTGTATTCTTGTAATATGGTCTTTTTTTCACCGGTGTCTGTGAATTTCTCGTCCGAAACGTAGTGTATGCCCGTAGTCTTCTCATCATAGCTGGAAATGTTTCCTTGCAACCCGCAATCTATGCTGATAAACCCTGAAAAACATGCATGAAGGTAGGCTGTATATTACAAATTATACTAGTACATAGCATTAGACGTCGCCCGAAAAAGCAACGTCTAAAGTAGTCGTTGTGCAACATGTCACTTTTGAAGTTGCGTATTTTTTTTTTCTTTGAATTGAATTAAGATTTAAAAAAAAAATTAATGGGCACCTCTATTGTCAATATACGAGTACTCTTACAATATTATGCATTTTCCATAAAATTTTATATTAATACTGAATAATTCATTACCTAAATTATTTTAAAAGAAAAAAGCGTTTTTAAGGTGCCTATGCACTCCTAATCACTCTAAGAATTAACAAAAAAGGACAAAAAAATAATTAAACAAACATTCATTCATTCATCATTTTAACTCTTCCTCCCTCTTACCAAACTAAGGGTGTCAATTCGTGTCAGTGAGTCGTATTCGTGTCAACCCGTTTATTAATAGTGTCAAAAAATATCAATCCAAACACAATATGTTTATTAAACGTGTCAAAAATATCAACCCAAACATAACTTATTTATTAATCGTGTTAATCGTGTCAACCCATATATCCTTTTTTAAATTAATATATTGAATAAATAACTAATATAATAATGACTTATTTAATACGGTCAAGACAGGTTTAACATATTTATTGGTCGATTTATCTTTTCCTTTAAGAAAAATAAATGAATTTTACCTACAAATATTAAAATTCACATTATTTGTATTTAATATGTTATATAAACTTTCATGTTATATCACATATCATTATATTGCAGATGACACATATAATTAATTGTGTCAGTTCGTATTAGGAGGTCAACCCTAATCCAACCCATTTATTAATCGTGTCAGCCCGATTATGACCAAAACCCATTTATAGTAAACCTAAACCCGCTAACTTCGTACGAGTTTCGAGTCTTGTCGTCGTGTCACAAAATTTGATTGCCAGCCTTATACCAAACAACACAAAGGATTACCATAATCCTCTCCATCTCTCACATTCTTCTTACTTGCTTCCACCAGTTGCTTGCTTGGCATTCCATTTTGTATATGTAGCGACCCTCTTTTGAGGCCGCCACTGTAACTAACTTTTTAACTTGTACTTACTGAATTTTCTTAAAATTTACGGGACACATTTTTTTTTTTTTTTAAAGGTTTTTTTAAAAACATAAAATACGAAATTGTTTTCTTAATTAAAATATTCAAACCTTAACATATCTGTTTCATAATCATAATTAACAAAACTATTTGTAACATAAAGCTGATTGCGGAAATATTTGCGAGTGGTATCCATATCCCGAGCCCCACCTCGTTCGTCCACTCGCCAGCAGTCCATCAGGCATTATATGCGGGTTGCTTACCTACAGTATAAACATTCTATAATGAGCTTTCGCTCAGCAAGTAGGAACTATCTCCCGCAAAATAACTGTGCGTTCACATGAATAAATATGCATGAGCCAATTATGCTTAATTATGATGTCTTATCAGAATCTTATTATCTTATCTTATCTTTCTTACTGATGGGCCCGAGTGCTCGTACCACTTGCGCGCAATCATCGGAACGTGAGGGTTTGCAAGGTCCCCCATGACACCGTGATTATAACTTGAATGCCTCCCTTGAGTCGGAGGACATCATTATATTTTTTTTTCTCCCTTGTGGAGCTTGAGTTACCTCCCTTGTGGAGGCTGGTACGGCACTCAACTGAGATTACTCTTATAAGTTCCTCTTGACTTATTAAGGTGTATGCAATATGACCTAGCATAGCATACTATATCATGTACTCGAACACATATAATTCGGGTGTACTGCCTAAGTGTATGTAGTATAACATAGCATAGCATTCATAACATTAAATGTACTCAAACATATATAGTTCATGTGTACTGTTTACTTTAAAATCTATTTATACTGTAGGCGAGATTCCTACTTAC